ATCACCACGGGTGCTGTGGAGCGGGGGACTACATACACCTGAGGGGTGAAATCAAATACTGTCCAAAAATTAACAGCAATGCAAGAAAAAAAGTTAATTTGAAAAATAAAAACCACCGTAAAACTTGAATAAATCCTCTAAGATTCACCATAGCATATATGTACATGTATCTATATGTTCCATATCTGTATGTTCACAATTGCAAGTTAATTTTAAATTCTATGGAAAGACTTGCATAACCAGATTTTAAATTAAATCTATCACTGAACACAAATTTAAAGATTCAAAATGTGTAGCCATAAAATTTTTCTTCATTATTATGTGTATTTCACTCTAAATTCATCTTTCTGGACTATTTTTCCATATCATTTTGAAGCACCTTTTAGAAAACATCTGCACTTATATTTTAATTTCCATAGCATTTTCTTTTTCTAGTAACGGAATTGTCATCTCTTTTCTCTGTGGTATTTCATTTTGTTTTTAAGGCTTCATCTGTTTCCTAAATTTTCTTTGCTTCTTCTCTTTTATTTTTTTTTATTTGTTTTACTCTGTCATCTCTCACATTGGACATTGTCTTCAAATGTTTGCTAATTCGTGGCTGTACTTTCCTTTTAAAAAATGAGGCATACAGACCTAAATGAAATACATCAAAAATAAGCAATGTAAATTGGTAGACTTCATTGAAGGTAAATCATTTGGGATCCCTGTAAATATTTTTAGGTTTTTTTCTTTGAGCCAATGTCAATAAGCCCAAAGAATAATAGCATCTTCTCTTACAGGGTAGGACTGACAAGCCTCACTGCTAGAGTTCTGATAGCATGACATCAAAAGGTACCTAGGGGCTTTACCATTCAGTAGGTGGAAGCTTTCAGTTAATCTTTCTTTTTTTCTGTTCCTTAAGCCCTCCCTCTGCCGCCCTTGGTGTTCTCAAATGAAAACTCCTCATGTACGATTTCTCCAAAAAGTAAACCTCTTGCCTTTTGCCAAGATTTTGATAGGAAGTGGATATAAATGGGAGTATTCAATCTCAAATATTTTTTTCTGACTACACGTACAAGTCTATCAGTTCACAGACAGGGCCAGATCTAAGATCAAACCCTAGTCTTAACAACTAAAAAAATGTGTGACCTTGGATAGTGTTTTAACCTCATCAAGCCTTGATTTTCTATCTGTGAAATAAAGCTAATAACATATTCCTTACAGTTTTCTTGGGGGAATTAACGGACATAGCAAATATAAAAAAATTGTTACAATGGAAGATTCCCTCACAATATTCTAAACCTTCTTCATATAATTTTTGTGCTGATTAGACTGTAAACTCCCCAAGGCCAGGGAATTCAGTTTATACCAAAATTCACGAAATCAATGTGATATATAATAGCATCTATGTTTAATGCCAAGATTAAAACATTGTAAATATACTGTCAGCCAATTAACAAATCTATATATGGGGTAATTTTTAATTTCTCCACATTTATATTTTATTTAAATGCTTTAAGATCAATTATTTGTTGTTTTAGCTTTCTTTTTTTTAAGTCTGAACTTCTTTGGTTTGACAGAAGCCTAATAAACAGAAAACCAAACTAGAAGTTATTACACCTATCATATAAACATATTACCCCTCCCCCCCAAAAAAGTGCCCCCCCCTCCTATGACATGTAGATGGTATATTGATTCCCAGTGTATCTGTTACAGAGCAGACTAAAAGGACTGGCATTCGTCAGAAACAGCACTTAAAACTTAAAGAGATAAAGAAGTGCTGTCTGATCAACAACAGTTAAATGTCGGTAGTCAATTCCAGGTCAAGATACATGCTGTATATTAAATGTGTGTGTTAGGGAGAAATATCTCACATATAAAAATACATTTCCAAATGGCAGGAGAAAAATGAGAAACTTACAGAGAAAAATCACCTACTTTTCCTTTAAACAAAGAGAGGACAGAATTTTCAAACATTAAATACCTAGGACAAATAATAGCAACTCAACAACAATTAAGTAAATTCAAGAGAGTTTTGTCATTCAGTTGCCTTCAGTTATCAGACAATTTACACTTTAGAAACCTTTCAAGTTAGGCTAGAACAATGGAAGCAGCTAGTGTAGCTGTAAGTATTAACTCTTTTTGTAACAAACAAAAACTGAAGTTAGCTGAGGCCTGGACCAAAATATAAAATTCAGTTTAAAGGTCTGACAATCCTGTGCAAGGGAAGAATCAGTAGCTCACAGTGCAGTCCTGTTTACCCCCAGTGTTTACTTATCTTGGCTCCACACTGAGCCAAAGTATAGCTCACAGTGTTCCTGCACGCTGAAGTCAAAAAATAGATGATGTTTCTACCTCAAACTCACTATTTTCTTTTGCTTAAGAATGTGAACACTAATTATTAAAAAATAGAATACCTGTTTATGCCTTAGACATTTCCTGTACCTGCCTCATTCTTATCTTCAGTTTGTTTTTTAGTAGGGTAGTAATAACCTGATTTTACTCTACAGAAATGGAGTCCTTGGAACACAATATTACTCACTAAATAATCAATGCAAAAAAACAAATGAATCAATGAATCAGGGATTGTCTAGAAAAAGCTGAATGTTTGGTTAATTCAGCTTTTTCATAAAACAGGCTAGTCAAAAAAACTTGGACCATAATCTGAGACAAGCACACAAAAAGTAGGAAATTTGGAAAAGCTTTTGTTTTTCAAGCTATTAACAGAAAGCTAGTTGTACTTTACCATGGTATCAGCATGAGAGGTGAAGGGAAACATGATAAAAATAACATTAAAGCAGACTCAGCAATTAATGTCAAAGGTAGATGGTAGCATAGTGTATTTCTCAAACCTCCTGGGACAAAGTTTATGAAAGAAAATAACCATGGCACCTTATTTAAATCATTATCCAGCACACACATGTACACACACACTTTAAGCAGAAGATGGGTGTGTGTGTGCATTATGACACTCCATTCAATTTCTGAAATGTTAGTTGTAAACTGCAGTTGAGGAAGACTGGCTTGGTGTTAAATTTTGGTTCTACCCACTAGCTATGTGAACACAGGCAGTCTGCTTACACTCCTGGTGCCTCAGTTACTGCCTCTATAAAACACAACAATGTTACCTATTTTAAGGGTCTTTGTGAGGGTTAAAAGAGTTAATAAATATACTTAGATAAAAGCCTGACATATAAGTCCTCAATAAATGTTAACAATAATAAAGTCGGATAGTCTTGCTTCTGAAAACATTTGGCTGAGATTTCATTTGCAAGCTTTCAATTGGAGGTGAATGGTTATTTTCTTTCAACCTAAGAAAATATGGTGGTGTTTTTTTTTTTCAGTAGTTATCCAGATTTCAGCACATATACATGAAAATTTGAAAATAACTATTTCCATCAAGAGAAATGATTACCTCAGATTGTCTCGGTTTTCCCCTTTAGTCTACTAAGGGGGAAAAAATACTAAATCACAGTAGCAAAGAAAATCTTCCTTATACACACAGGAAACCCCGGCACTGAAACACTGAACCATCATAATTTGTTTTTATAGTATGACATTTTGTAAATATATTCCTGCCCTAATTAATTTTGTCTTCTTATAAAGACAAAAAGAAAATGTTGACTCTTCTCTCTTCAAAGAGGCTATCAAAATATGAAAATCAATGTGTATGTGTAAAATATGGATTAATGTCACTCCAAAGTCTACGCATCGTTAGACATGTCTTCTCGTCAGTCAGAATTTTAGACTAGTGATGAAACAACTAGGAAATAGGAGGACAAAAAGTCAACTTTAAAAGTGATCTCTACATTACTGCAGTTTTCAAAAAAATAAATTTAACCCATTATGTCAAGTGAAAACTTTCTCAATACAAAAATATATTTAATTTTCAGATGACAATATATTTGATCTTCTCAAAATCTGTTAATTATTAGAAGGATATACTGTACATAAAATAAAATTTTATATCTTCAAGAAGATATTTTTTACATTGTTTCAGTTAACCATTTCTTAAAGAATGATCAGAAAATACAGAAGGGTATTGATTACGTTAATCAAGTTTCCAAAAGAAAATTTCCCATGCAATACAGAAGAAATTACCAAATAAAAGTGTAGCTTCATAGCAGAGATACCATAGGTTCCAAAACCAGCTTCAGGAAAATTAATGGACATAAATGCAATTAACATTTTATACCTTGTGGAAAATGTTATATATATTTTATTGTTTAATTTATTTAACACGTTTATTTCATGACAGGCCCTACGTTGGGCATGGGAGAATAACATTGGAAAAGAACTCTATCATTATGGAGCTTAGAACCAAAACAAGTAGGCATGATATGCAAAATGCAGGATATTTTAGGAGTTATGAACGAAACAAAGAGTAGAATGTTAGGAAAGGAAGGCAGTTGGTAATTCTGAGGACATGACCTAAAGGAGAAGAGAAAATGAGCCACTTACAAAATAGGGATATAAACATTAAAGGCAGAGAAAGCAAGGCTCTGAATTTGGAAAGGCTTATTCGCCATTCAAAAAACAGACCAAGAAAGGTTTAAACACTGGATTTATAAAGTTCAAAATCAGATTTAAAGAGGTTCCATTCTGTTGCAGTGAGGGATGGATTAGAGAAGGAAAGACTGGAGGTAGCAGGGGGATTGTTAGGAGACCAGTTAATGCAGAGTTACTTGACTTTATAGAAGAGTACTGATGAGAAGTTTCCAAGAATTTCTTCATGTTTCATCAAATACTAATACCCTCAGAAGTTAATGTTTGGGAGTAACATCTTCTTAATTGTATATGGAAAAAGGAGCATAATTCTTAATATTTTTGACTGTCAAGTTTGTCCTGCACATCAAATTTTTCAATTTAAAATTTGAAAAGTACTAAAAGTATACTTAGAAGGTAAATATATTAAAGATACAAATTACACTTAAAGATATTTTTAAAAAGCAATGTGAAAATTACTGAAGATAATCTATTTTTGTACACAATTATATTTCAGATGGTTACTGAGAAGTTACCTTGGACAAATCTCTAAAATTACTTGGCAAGGTAAGGTCCAGTTCTTCTGATTCGTAATTGGTGATGACCCAGGGAAACACTGGGTACTGATTTAAGTCATTATAACTCCGTCCTAGGAGAAGGAAAACAAGTAGCCACTTAATTTCAAATAATACAATGAAATGATAAACAGATGCAGTAATAAGGTTCACTAAAAATAAAAAGAACTGACACTTTTTAAGTACCAGATATTGTTCTCAGTGCTAATAATTATTTCATTTAATTCTCACAATAATCCTATGCTAGTAGTACCATTTCCATTTTATAGATGAAAAATTAAGGTGCAAAATGCCCTAAATCAGGCAATTAGTAAATCAAGCAACTAGTAATGGTCAAACAATACCAAATCTGGGTATTGTAGGTCCCAAGGTTATGATTATTTTGTATTACTTGAAAGTCTGACCCAAATGAAGTGTTCTTTACCAAAACTTAATAAAACATTTTGTAATTCTCACAGTTTTTCAAAACTAGAATTCTTTCTCTGCCACTAAGTAATCAACCAATTGACCAATTAACCAAATTCAAGTGACTTAAGCCCTCTGAGCACTCATTAGTCATCTGAAAAATGAGGTTATATTAATAAATGAAATTCCCGTGACAGTTTTCAAACTCTATGATCCTCTGAATGTAAAGCACAGCATCATCAGTGTTGCTTTCCCTCATTCCCAAATGCTGCTCATCCTCTTCTGTACTTCTAAACTAATGACATTTAATGACATATTTAAGTCTATCGAAATATGAATAAAGGATGAGGTAGCCCTTCAGCATATATATAATTTTTTTTTGGGATATTGCCACTTAGGAAAGCAGCAGCATAATAGATGAAGTCATTGTTTCTGGAGTTAAAGTGCTGGCGTTTGAATCCCAGCTACATTATTTACTAGCCTATAACCTATTTTTAGTTAGATTTAATGCAAACAGACTTTTATTGTTAGGTAGACAAGTATATTAATGTTTGAATTCCTGTCTTATTGTGTATTCTATTATCTCCATTCCTTTCTCATTCTCAAACATATACTGATGTCATATCAACATATAAATAAGTATTAAAGTAGCTCTATACACAGACTCCCGGTATCTAAGCTTTCCTTATGATTTGATGTTTTTAACATTTTACTTCTTTCTTTTCTTCTGTGTGTAAGACCAATTAGAATAACAGAGATTTTCCTTGACTGACCTAGAAACAGACTTTTAAAAAGTCTGATGAATAATAAAGACAATTTTAATTCAGAGGCTATTACATGTCACTACATATTTATCAATTCTAATTTCTTCCAGAAAAAAAATAACCAAACTTAGCAGTAAAAACCACCCATTTTGGGGTAAAAACTAATCCCTTTCTCCCCCACTTCCCTCTTCTTGTGATTGAGGTCCGAGTGAACAGCAAAATCCACATCTTAACTCATCTGTTCATTGTACCTACAAAAATGGTGAGTACCTGCTCACGGTGAATAATACTTCATTAATTAAGTTAAGCTCAATATACAGTTATTGGATATTCACTGATTACTTTTTGAGAAATATGTCATGATATAGAACCTACATGTGTCACAGATATTAGCATAAAAGGAATCTTACATAACATGAGACTCAACCCCACTTTCTAGTGTGTATAAAAACTATATAAAATAAAGTATTGATTCTATTCCTTAAAAAGAGTACCTGGGGAGATATTTAAAAGAAACTGTAGGAAAATAGAAGCTATTGAGAGTAGAGCATTTCTTAAATGTCGTCCCATAATTATAACGGTACATTCAATCTATGTATTAATTGATTTACCATGTGCAAACATGACCATTAAACTTGTTCTATAGCTTCCCTGTCTCTTACAACTACTTAAAAATCTTTTTAATCACTACTTATATTATCCCTTCTAAATTCAACATCACTGTTGAAATTTTTGTTATATTCCCTTAGCTGACTATAAGATGAACATCTCTTTAGTTGACAAATTTATATGTTTCAGTGTGAGCCCTAAACTTTCAATTGTTCATAACACTTCTTCTCTACTTTGTAACATAGCTTATATACTTTGCAGGGTGCGATGCCTTCATCTGAGCTCTTGAACCTGTCTCCCTTATACCTGAATCATTACTTTTCCACTCTTGCCCTCTTCCATGGTTTCTCTCCTCTGCTGTAACTCACCATCTATTAGGACAACCATAACTACATTTAGTGTTTCCATTTCATCCCCAACCATTCAGTCCTTATAATAAACCAGATGCACTTGCTTTGAAAATGAACCCCTATAAAGCAACCAGGAAGCCCCAAAATGCCATCAAAATTGTGACCTGTACTCATATTTGTTTTCTCTGACATCTAAGGAACATCTCATCCAGGTGACCTGTGCTTTCTCTCTCCCTTTCCCCGGCCTCTGAGACATTTGCGTTTACATTACTTCTCCTTCTCCTAAGCCTATAAACTGCAATCACTTTATTTTCTTTTCTTATTCACTCACTCTCCCTCTTCTTGTAGGGCACTCCCTAGACTTACTCTCACCTCTTTCTGTATTAGTGTGGTAATCAAGACATATCTTGATAATTTCCCTTCTGAGCACAAGATATCCAACACACGAACTAAATTACAAATGTCCTCTATTTTCCAACAATTCTTTTGGCTACCTCAATTGATGTCTTGCTAGCACAGTAAAATCCTCATTTTTCTGTAGGTCAACTTATCTGACTTCATTTGATGTTAGTTGCATCACCATTTCCCTTATGATTTAGACCAAAAGCCTGGAAATCCTTGCAGACACTTTCTTTTCATTTACCCTCTATGTTTGGTGACCTGGATGTCAGATGGTTTATACCATGTAAATTCTTATGTTATTAGATCCCTTGTTTTTAATTCCCACTGTCATTTCTCTAATATAGGCTCTCATTATTTTTTATATGTAATTGCTCTCTGCCTAGTTTCGCTTCAGTCTAATTTATCCTTTGTTCTGTCTCCAAGTTAACTTTTATACAATTCTAATAGCAATTTTTTGGCCCCCAAGTTTTCAAGTTTTCCAGTGAACTAACTGCTAACTCCTTAAATAGACAGAAAATCTTTTACAATGTTTCCACAATAACTTCCCAATCAACTTTCTCATTAATCTTTATGAAAATATGCTTTCTCCTCCCTACACCCCCCACATTCATTGTTACTTATACTTCATGTTTCTGGGTCTGTGAACGTCAGTTTAAACCTTCAGTTTTATGTGGAGTGACTTCTACTCACCCAGCAACCCCTTTGCTAGTTAAAGTTAATATCCATCTTTACAGGAACATAAAATCTTTCCTTTTTTCTTACTGCCACCAACCATATGACTATAATTCCCCTTACTTTGTCCTTTGAATCCCCATTATATTCCATACTTCTTTTATTGCATTTATACCCCTTTGCTCTAGAATTATGTAAATACCTTTATATTTACAGCAAGTTCTCTGAGAATAAGCAACGTGCATTATTTATTCTTATATCTCCTTTGTGCTTCAAATATAAACTGCTAATTTGTTGAATTGAACCTCAAATGTCTCACAAATACATTATATAAACCTCAAATGTCTCACAAATACATTATATAAATAATTTTCTTCATTCAGTTTTCACAAATGAAAAATAATCCCATAGTTCTATTATTTATCCTCTTTCTAATAGTTTCAATGGATGATTTTCAATATTAACACATTGTACATTGCAATTGGTCTTAGATTTTTATGTATGGGTGATAATATAAATATTCCTTTCATATTTCTAATAAGTTAGTAATACATTCTTAAGATTTTATGTTTTTCATTTCTACTTTTTCATAATAAGTCCAATTTGTGCTACATTAAAACTTTGCAAATTTTTATAACTTTTAATTTTTTTTTTCATTTGGAAAATAGTATAATACCCTTAAAATTTTCTCCAAGTAGCCAACTATTCATATACATAACTGATAATTCTATGATCAAATTACTCTTCATAAGGTAATATGTATAGTAATAATGAAAATTAAAACAAGCTATTTATACCAGTACTCAAAATAACCTAATCACATCACAATAATTTCTCATTTGAAAGAAGTCAACATGTGAGTATAAATTACCTGCTATTGTATTGAGAAACATCAAGTATTCAAAATTTGAAATTTCTCTGTGTTGCCATCTCTGGGTCATGTTAGAAGCTTTAAATAGTTGACGTGGACTAGCTAATGAGATACGCCTGCAGGGGAAAGAATTTTATGTAGAATCAATTTAAACATAAGATTAATTATATAACAATAATAAATCATGAATATCTGTGCTTATTTAAAATGATAAATACATGTAATTCTGAAAAGTTCTATTCATGTTATAATAATGAATACTAGATGAGTCTACCTACAATTAATGGTTAAACAAATGATTTGGACTAGCCACAGGTCTATTATACATCATTAAGGAAAGATGTCATCACAATGTCATTAAAATACCTAAGTCCCATAAATGGTGATTAATAATAGTATGATTAATAAGCCACTGTTTTACTGATATAAAAGGAATTACAGTAACTCAGAAATACATATAAATTATATTTTCATGTCATTATCAATTTTAACAATTATCTCTTAAAGACAACACATTTGTGCATTGTAAATTTCAATATTTTGATTGTGTCCCCTTCGTAACAGAGGAGAGAGGATTCAAAATTAGGTGAATATTTACAGGGTGGGATAAAGATAAGAGAAAATTACTTTTTTTTTTTTCATGTAGCCTGAAGAAGACCAAGTCTTCTGTGTTTTCTTAATGAAATGTAAACAACAAAGGATACAACTAATACTAATAGCAGTGAGAAATAGGTGGTAGGATTAATTATTAAATTCAGAGCTTAGAATCTCAGAGAAATATGCTGCCACAGTTGTTCTTACCACCAAGGACAAGGTAACTATTTTTTAAAAAAGTTTTATTATACAGGTATAATTTACAACCATAAAATTTCCCCGCTATAAGTATAATATTCAATGATTTTTTTTTAAAGTAGCTTTCTAGAGCTCTACAATTATCATAATGATCCTTGGCACATTTTCATCACCACAAAAACTTGCCTTTTCCCTATTTACAGCTAATCCCTATTTCTATCCCCAGTTTGAAGCAACTAACAATTTGCTTTCTAACTCTATAAACATGCCTTTTTCTGGATACTTGAGATAATGGAATCAAATACTATTTAGTCCTTTCTGTCAAATTATGTGTCAGTCTTTGCCTTGTTTTATTTTCAATTATTCCCTTTATTAACCATTTGTTGAGATACAATTGAAACATAACATTAGTTCAGGAATAAAACAAACAATTCAATATCTGTACATATTGCAAAATAATCACCACAATAAATTTAGTCAATATCCATTACCACACATAACTACAATTTGTTCTTAATAAAAGAAGCTCTATGATCCTCTTGCTTAGCAATTTTCATATATCCAATGTAGTATTAACTACAGTTACCATGGTAAATATTACATTTCCATGACTTCTGAATTTTAAAACTGGAAGTCTGTATCATTTAACAGCTACCTCCACCAGCCTGGTTTTACCCATTTTGCCTATTCCCCACTCCCCTGCCTCTGCAACTATTACAGGTTCTTGTACATGTGAGTTCAGGTTTTGTTTTCATAAATTTCACATGTAAGTGACATCATACTCTTTGACTTTGACTTTGTATTTGACTTTCTCTGACTTATTTCACTTAGCATAATGCCCTCTAGGTCTGTGCCAAAAAAATGGCAGGATTTCTATTATTATCAATGAATAATATTTCATTATATATCTACACTACATTTTCTGTATCCATTGATCAATTGATGGACAGTGGTTGATTTAGTTGTGGAATCATATTCCATTGTATGAATAGAATATGTAACTTTTTCTAACCCATTAAATTGATGAACATTTAGATTGTTTCCAGTTTGGGGCTACTATAAACAATGCTACCTTGGACGTTCAAATGCATGTCTTTGTATGAAAATGTTTTAATTTCAAGCATGTTGATATCACATGGACAAATTTACAACATCCAACCCTCTGGCTATCAAAATTGCTGTTGGTAAATGCAATAATCATATCTTCAGTCTATAAAAAGTTGTTATCTCATCAGATTTTATCTTATTTAAATATCAACTATCATAAATTTCTTAGATTTCCTATTTATTGAGCCACTCTTCATTTTTGTTTTGTTTTTCTGAAGGAGGGGTATATTCTGTTCAATTTACCTCAAGTTGAGACCCAGTCCAGTTCCTTTTTGCCCATTACACAATCTCTCCTAAAGCAAACTCACTCCTTGTAAGCCTTCAAATTTCCTCTAAATGACAGTCTGGCAGTCATTCCCAAATAGTACAGCTTTTTTTCTTTTTTTAAGCTGTAGACTATCTCCTTATACCTAACACCCTATCCAACATTTTAGTCTGGACATCATTTTAATAGATTTAAAATTAAACTTCTCATTTTCTGACTATCCACCTTCTCACAAATCCAACCCTGACTATGGAAGAGAAGTGGAATACATACTATTCCTTCTCCAGAGTTCTAGCTCACTAACTGTCGTTGAGCAGCACAACCTGAGTCTTGAGGAGACATACTGGATACCTCCCTTTCTTCTCATCACCTAAATCTAAGTTATATTTCCTCAAAAATCTCTAAACAAAGATGTCTTTTATTCAACTACCTCACAGTCACATGTCACCTGGATTTCTACATCTACCTATCTCCTAACTGACCTTCCTACTAAGATTACTAATCTCCAGTGATACTTCCCTTCAACATTCCTTAAAACACTAGGAGCTCTGCCTTGTTTCAGGGCATTAACAAGTGCTATTTCAAAGTTAGCTGATTTTATTCCTTTGAATCAAAACTTCAGTGACACACAGGAAGACATTTCTGACCTCTCTATCAAAAAGTACCCGATCTTAACTCCACTAATTACTATAAAAACATCTTAATTATATCCTTCCTGCCACTGATAGTTATTTATTTTGTTTACATATTTGTTTAAATGTGTATGAACAAGATGGTATCTATTCTGAACACTGCTGGGTAAATGATACATTGAAAGTGCTGAAAATATATTCAAGTGACTGATTTAATGAATTAAGACTTTCAGCTTTTATTAATTGCAGCAACACACTGCAAATTTTCCAAAAATGATACACACTAGGCGATGAATAAAACTTTTTAAAATAGATCATGAGTAGAAAAAGACTTTTTTTATTAAGAAAATCTACCATGTTGTTCTGAGCTGAATCTTCCTTAAAACTGAAATTCCTCATTAATCAATAAAATTATCTAATCAAAATCCTTACTATTCCTGTAAAACAACTAACGGCTATAATCCAGTGGAATAACTTTATGTGCCTTCTTAACATAAAAATTTTAACCTATGGCAGTTTAAAAATATATCCACTATTTCTTTGGCACATTCTCTTCAAGAGGTGGAGCTTGATTCTCCTTCCCTGGAGCTTTGGGCTGTATTTAATGACTCATCTACAACAAATAATGTAGTAGAATGATGGAGTGTGACTATCAAGGGTACAGTATAAGAAGACAGTGGGGTCGGGCTCCAGTGCACTCTCATCATTTGCGCTGGGGGAGGTCAGCTCCCACTGCAGGCGTGTGGGGGGCCGGAAGTGCTGAGCCACCAAGTCTGACTGCCAAGGGGCACATCAGTGCTTCAGTCTGCACAGTTCTCTCGCCCCAGGATAAGGATGACTGCAGCTTCTACTAACATCCTGACTATTGTTAGTTCATCTATTTCAATTGCATTTCCAAAAAGATATAACCAAAAAATAAAAATCAAAATAAACACTGAGCAAACACAGCTCAAATAAAAATACAATTGGCTATGCTAAACGCAAATTGTAAGATTCTAGAGTTAATGTTTCAATCAACAGAAAACTCCCTATGTCTACTCTCTTCCTAGTCCTTAAATTAGTAAACTAAAATTCATTGATGGTGAATCAATACCGACTAGGAGAGAGAAAATAATTAAATGACAGTGCTATTTATATATAGCCAACTAACCGGCAAAAAGAAAAGAGACACATACCTCCACATTCTCCCAATTCCCAACACCATGAGAGAAACTTTGGCATTTTAACATTACTCTCGGGTAGTTAATTTGAGCAATATAAATATTAGTTATTAAGTCTTTATGAATATACAAAGTTAATATTTGAATCTGATTTACCAGAGGTTAAAGATAAAAGTTTTAATTAAACAAACTATAGCTACAAATTATTTAATATATGGACTTGATATGTCTGTCAACAAATTAAAACAAATATGAAGAAACAAAGCTAAGTTCGTTCATTTTTATCAAAATGATAAAAACTTTCAATCTGAATTATCATGCATGTTAGGTAATAGTACAGATGAAAATATGTACAAATGAACACCTCATAACTTAGATATTTTAACTATGGTACTTTTTCAGTGATTTTTACTGAGATAAAATTTAACAAAAACATTTACCAAACTAAAGTGTACATTTAATAAGGTTTGAATATACATACCATCACAATTGAGACACACTAGAAAAATTTCCTTGCATCACTTTGTAGCTAATCCCTTTATTCCAATCTCTGGCCCCTTGCAACGAATGTTCTGCTTTCTGTTATTTATACAGTCCCATTTTTTAGTAATTTCATATAAATATAATTATAAATACCCCATGGCTATGATGTATGTAGCCCATGGTGTTATAAGAATAAGAAGCTGCAGCCCATTATGCTTCTTTTACGTAGCATAGTGCTTTTGAAATTTATCCATTCTGTTGGTATAGTCAATTCCTTTTTATTTCTGAGTAGTATTCCATTGTGTGGATGTATTATAATCTGCTTACCCATGAACAACTGATGGACATAAGAAATGTTACCAATTTGGGACTATTAAGAATAACACTGCTATTAATACTTGCTTACAATTTAATACATATATGTATATTTTCATTACAGCTGGTAAACACCCAGGAGTGGAATTAATAGGACATAAGTGCATATTTAACTTCATAAAAACACTGGCAAATTGTTTTCCAAAGTAACTATACTAATTGCATTACTTCTAGTATGGTTCTAGCAATCCTGATGTTATATACCCATCTTAACCTTTCATATTTTATCTTTTTGATTTTTAAAGAAGATTTTATACAGGATAAAATTAACCCTTTCAGGTGCACAATGCATTTTTTTATAAGTAATTTTTTTTTAAAGATTTATTTCTTTTTTTATACAAGCACTGGGTACAGTCAGAAATGCAGGAGGGTGAGAGAATTCACCAGAGCCAGAGAGAGAAGCAGAACAGGCAGACTGATTAAATACACTGCTGAGGGGGGCAGTGGATGGCAGGAGAAGACTGCGTGCCACTGGTACCCTCCCTGGCGGCTGGGGATCAAACCAGAGCTGCAGAGGCTGCGGGCAGCTTCGCAGCCCAGCGCTCAACCACTGCGCTACCGGGGAGGCCCGCACAACGTATTCTTTGCCAGGAATACAGTTGTGTAACATCACAAGAATCAAGATATGAACTATTTCTATATCAAAAGGTTCCATTCTTGTAACTACCCATCCACTCTTTAACTACTGACCTGATTACTTTCTAAATAGTCCCATTTTTTTTCAAAATGTCTACTTGGAATCACACGGTGTATATTCTTTTTGTTTTGGCTTCTTTTACTAATTATATGTTTAAAAAAACCATCCATGCTTTGCATGTATCAGTAATTCATTTCTATGTTTTTTTTTCCAAAAAATATTTTTACTATTTGTAGACATTTTATTCCTACAATTTTGGCTATGCGCTTGCATGTCAATATTTCTGCAATATTTGTTTTCTATTTTGTTTCATTTCTTTTTATTGGTAAGTAGTATACTCTATTGTATGGATGTACCACAATTTGCCCATTTACTAGATGATGACCATTTGGGCAATTTCCAACTCCTAGTGATTATGAATATAGCTGCTGTACACATTTGTGATCTAGCCACTGCATGATATATATTCTCATTTCTCTAAAATAAATACCTTCAATGAGACTGTTGCAGTGAATGGTAACTATATGGTTAATTTTACATGAAATCTCCCCAATGAGGTCCTACCACTTTACATACCATGGCAGCATGTGAAAATCTAGTCACTCTGCATTTTTGATGACTCAAAGGTACACCATGTATCTCACTGTCTTTCCTGGGATTTCTCAGAATAATACCTTTGCCAGGCATCATCTTTTCATGTTTTGATACTTGCATCTATTCTTTGTTGAAGTGCCCACAGAAATCTTCTACCTAATTTCTTAAAAATGCTGTTTTTCTCACTATTAAATGTAGTAATTTCTTATTTATCCCGGAAATAAGTCCTAAGCCATATACAGTGTATAAACATTTTAACTGAGTCTCTAGCATATTTTCATTTTCTTCAGACTGTCATTCAAAAGCAAATGTTTTTCATTTTGAGGGCCAGTTTAATCAATTTTTCCTTTCCAATTAAGAGGGCATGTAGTTCCTATCCTGGTAATGCTGGCTTCATAGAATGACTTTTATTCTTTTTTACTTTCTGTAAACATTTGCATAAAAATGATATTCTTTCCTCATCAAACATTTGATAGACCTTAACAATGAAGTCATCTGAACTGGGGATTTCCTGTTACCAGGTCTTTAACTACAAATTCAATTTCCTCTACAGAGTTAAGGTTATCCATTTCTTCACTAGTGAGATTTGACAGGAATCTGTTCATTTCCATTTAAATTGTGTAACGAGAACATATTTCTTCATATTTCCTTATTTTTCCTTCAGTATCTGTAGGATCTGTAGTTATACGCCCCAGTCATTCTTGAAACTGGCATTTGTGTTTTCTTACTTTTTAAGTCTTGAATAATGTAATGAATACATTTATTAATCTTTTCAGGGAAACAATTCTTCATGGCATTAGTTTTCCTTTTATTGCTTTATTTTCCTTTTATTCAGCTTACTTTGGTTTATTTTTGTTTTCCATTTTCTAGTTTCTTCAGACAAAAGTTCAATTTACTTAATATACTGATAATCCCAGCTTATAATGAAACATGTCATATATTTCAAAACAATTACAAATATTGATGCAGAATATTTTTCCTATTTTTCTCGTAAAAATAGGAAATAGTACCTGGTTTGAGGCAATCCAAAACTGGTTCCAATACCAACACGAGGTAGATAGTTAACCACTTTCTTTACTGTTGCAGGGTCTGGGAAGTTGAACATTATAGCAACTATGAAAAATAATTAAAAAAAATTAAAATAAATATGGCTTGCTTTCTGATTTCAATAAAATATTTACTCTTGCTTCAGGAATCTATTAAATACAATTCTTACTATATAACTTTTATTATATTACAAATCAAGGCTTAATATTATATGCCAGAGGTAATATTCACTTCACTTATGAACTCCTTTGCTATAAATACTGTCAGAAATTCTCATAAATACTGTTGCATTGATGTGACACAAAGAAGAGGTTACCTAGGTGCAACTCTGAATTTATAAAACTGAATTTTAGCAAATTAAATATGCCTATGAATTTGTACAAAGAACTATCTAAAATTTTAAGTTTATATAGTTAACAACCTAATACCAAAGGACTACAGCCACCAAACTATCAGTTGCATTTATTCCTAATGATGAATAGCTTTAAAAAATACTCTTTATAATGCTAACATGTTTACATCCTGTATATTCAACAAGATAGAACACAGTGTGACTTGAGGGAAAATTCTTCCTCTATGTTTAATAATGAAATTTGAATACTTTCCAATCATTTCCATTTCAATAATTTACATATTTAAGAATGAAAAGACATGATTATCAATACACATATTTAGCATATAATGTTAATTTATTATATGATCTGAAATGTTTCATCTTTCTTTAAAAAACAGGAAAATAAATAATAACATTATGAGAGGGAATTTAGAAGATAAAAATTTGTCAGCCTTAAAAATTTATTAACTTCAATATATGCACTATATATAAGCTGTAATTACTCATCTAGAAGATGATCCTTCTTTTCTACTTAGACTGAAAAAAACACTTTAGGCCACAAATTTTACACTTTAATATTACCAGTATCTTTCAGATAAATACGTAATCATTCACTAAGCACCTAAAACATTTTAAACTGCCATACATATAACCCACATACTTTTTAAAAAGCCTTCTTTATATATATATCAACTATTACATTGAATACAGGGGGTTGGGGGGAAACAGAAGGAATAAACTATCATAGGTTATGGCAGATGACCAAGGCCATGAGGGAAATGCAACAGAAAAATACACAGAGAAAAGCAAGGATGCATGTGAAATTTCAAAGAAGGAAATGAATGAGGATGAGCAAGCAATAAATATTGTAAGGTTGAAACCCCTTTGGGACTGCAAGAATGCAGACTGAACTAAAGTGTGAAACATTCACTTGATTATTTGCCTGGAAGAATAATGTTTGTATTAGGAAGAAGAACTGTGTGGGGGAGGAGATCAACTGGGAAAGAGATAAACATCTTTCCCTAAAGAAATTTGTACTCTCTGAAGAACATGATTTCATAAAAGAAAAAAGAAGTCTATTTTTTTAGAATAGCTATGTTATTATATTACATATATAGATGTTATTATGTGTAGATATTTTTAATGATAATTTTCAGATTATAGAACGATAATCAGAAATTTTTTTACTTACATGCAAGGAGTATTTAATACAAGGAGTATTACAACAAACCACTATGTTTTATACATCCTCCCTTGTACACCCCCACACACATCCAACACCACTTTTCCTTCAAGTTCACCTTGTCTCTCCTTCATGTCTTAATGAATTTTCCCAAGTTCCATTCTAAGCCAGCAAATTAAATTTTAGTTTTTTCAAGAGTGATGTAATACAAAGCAACCAAGACTGTTCAGTACCATTTTCGGATGTAATGATTAGAAACAATATTAAATAAATGTATGAATCATTTGATGACCTGTCCCCTCTTCCAATGCTGCCATCTTGTAGTTTAAGCATCAGAAAAATGCTGAAGACTTCAAAACTCTACTACTGATTAAATGGTAGTTATTCCCCACATTTATAGGCATTACACTAATTTGTGATATAGCCAGACAAATAAAACTAGTATAAATAATACTAATAATCACCAAAAAGGTGGAAAGCATGAAGATCCATGTGGTTTAATAAGAAAAAGAAAAAAAAAAAAAAGTCAGCAGGACAGAGGGTAGGCTACAAAGTACTATCTAAGAAAACATGTCTTTCAAACTGGAATCACAGAGATGGAGGCTAGCTCTGTGATAATGTACTTCTGCAACATCTTACCTCTGTTTGCCATGAAGATTTCCAGAGCTGTATTTTGTAAAAGGTAACGACGAGAGAAGACTGATCGTATCTCTGTAAATAGCCATTTTCCATGCAGGCCTTCAGTATATGCCAGAATCTAGTAAGGAAAAAATAATTCAAAGTAAATGACAATTTAGAATAGTTTTTGTTCTCCCCCAAATAAAATACAAAAGTTCCTATTAAAAAATTTCCAAGAAATAATTTGGAGACTAAGAAAATCAGCTGCAATTTATAAGAAAAGAAGTTTAAATGAAAAAGAGCAAAAAAATACAAATGTAAGTGAGGGCTTTTTAAAGCAGTGATTTAACCTATTGATTTTCAGGAAATACATATTATATTATTTATTGGTTTTTTTTTTAAGTTATACTGTGGAAAGTATAAATAAAACCTTAAAAAAGCAAGACCTCAAAAAATGTCCTATATGTTAATAAATCACATACCCAGTTTCATATAACATGATTATAATGTACCGAGGAGTACTTTTTTATACATTTTAAAATATTAGTAAAATTAGTATTTAAGTTTATAACTTTAAGAAAATCATATTTTAAGGAGACTGGAAGGCAACAGTCACTCATTCAAAAAACACAAAGACTGACTGTATAAGAGGTTAAGTATCATTTTGTCAGTTAGGCTAAACACAAACCTGCAAATGAACTCAGTATAATCTCTCTATGGAGTAGGTGGTTGTCAGAGTAACTTGTTACAATTCTTGTCATCCCATGTGACAGACGCAGTAGCTTAGAAGGCTTTGCCAACTCAAAGTAATCCTGTATTCTGTCCTAAGCCACTGTGTTGCTTTGTTATTCAAGTTTTGTTTTTTAAAAAGTTCATTTCAAAAGCTTAATTATTAAGGTGTCAAAAGAAAATCAGATTTGGAATTTCTCCACACCAGTAATTCACATAAAATTAACAAGGAAAATGAGATATATTTGCTATCAAAGCCTGATGAAAATCGATGAAAACAAACTAAGTCAAAAATTAAGATCTCACTTAAAAGTAGTCATCAGTTAAAGATATAAGACAAATGACATTTGGTATGATATTGTATTACAGGCACAAAGACCAGACAAACAAAGAATAAAAAATTATGAAGAGTAAAAATTTATCCTGCAGAAACAAATTTTTTCTTTACTCACTGCAATTTTTACATCTTACTAGCAAAGCAAGTCTATATTTCTCAGTGTCAAAAAAGCAACCTTTTTAAAAAAAAAATGAAAAAACCTGATTTAATTCACTTAAAGATTTTTCTACAGAAATTATTCTATTTGCAGCAACAGAGGATGCAGAAATGAATAGGTATAATGCTAAGGCTCAATGATTTTTGAAAAACAAAACTAATATTCAAAGGACCAAACAACTAATTCTACTTTCAGTTTTAAAACTACTAATACATATCCTACTAATTCCTTCATACAATCAACATCTGTGTAAACAACATCAAGAGAAATCAGCAGAAAAATATAGGACAGAAGTATGGGTTTAATTCTCAAGATTGTTTTGCGTGTACATCTTTCTCTCGCTGACACTCCTTCTATTCTTAGTAGTCTACTATGGCCAAAAGAGCCAAAGGAGAAAAAAAATCTTTAAATATAAATCATATTACATCACTCCTATATTTAACCATCCAGAGGCTTATTACATTTATAATAAACTCTGCAGTTCTTTACCATCATTTAGCAAACCTTACATAGGGACTCTCTAATGAGGTCAGCTCATTTTCCTCAAGTCCTTTATACTTGATTTCTCTTTTCTTTGGAATGTTCTACTAGATTTTTATGTGGTTGGCTCATTTTTTCATTTAAATTTCAACTCAAACATTACCTCCTCAGAGAAGTCATGGGATCTTAATCCCACTTCCTCTATCACTACTTCACCCCCTCTACAAACTCATCACATTTCCTTCATAACACTTACCAATGCCTGATATGCTTCTGTTCAGCACTAGAACACTAGAATCTCACTTACACTAGAGCAGACTTTGAATACACTCCCATTTTTTTTTTAGACGAACATCTCACACAGAGTAGATACTTCTGGATGATCAAATAATTCTGTGAATAGCAACCTAAGTGTTCTCTTTCTCTCTAAATATATGTATGAGTTTGTGTGTACACATGTGTATATATAGACTATGATATATGTGAAATACATGTGACATATGATATATATAAAATATATGTGATATATAGATGTATATATGAAAAATAATTGAGAAAGTGGCTGTTTACATAAATATTTCAGATTTTTTGTTTCTCAAGGAAAACTGCAGTATCTGTCAAACCTGAATCCACAGTTGACCCTTGAATTGCAAGGTGGTGATGGGTGGGGGAAGGTGCACAGGCAGTTAGCAGTGCCAACCTACCACAAAGTTGAAAATCCTCATATAATTTACAGTTGCCCTCTGTATGCATGGACTCTGTACCTAGAGATTCAACTGACGTTGAATCTGTGAATACAGAACACAATGATGAAAAAAAAAAAAAAAAAACCAAAACATGTACACCAAGACCATGCAGCTCAAAGCCGTGTTTGTTCAAGGGTCAACTATATGTACATGGTAACAACTGGCACAGATTGTTGTGGCAGTCTCCACTCTTACTACTACATATCTAGAGTTTCCATTGACATCTGAGTTTGCCATACAGGACTTATGAGAAAGTAGATTCTGGTAAGTATTCTGTCATAGTCATAGTCCAACCTATTCGACTATTTATAAAGAAAATGAGGCCCAGACAAGTTAAAAGTGTAAAAAAAAATTTCTTGTGAGGTTAGCGAGAATCTGTTCAACTCCCAGGTTCTCTAATCCCAAAGTCCAGAAAGCTTCCATATAGATCACATTGTCAATTGTTTAAAAAAGGGTTTAAATGTGTTAAACTAGAACTAAATTCATCGAAAATTTTAATCAACTACATTTGTTTTCATGAAGAGGGTTATGGATGAAACAGGAAAGGCAAAAGAAAACAAAGAATAAAGGATCCTTTAAACTCTGAAATACGTTGAGAATATCACAGAATAGTCTGAAAATTCTGAATTTTCTAAATGCAGAGCTATACATTAAGACCTGTTGCTCACATGTCAATCACTGTAATATCATGGGCAAGCAATCAAAAATGTCATTATTTGCATGAATATGCCAATTATTAACAAAAATAAGTAAACTAAAACACTGCAATAAGATATTAATGTTCCAAAATAATTTTCCAATCAGAAAATTCAATTTATATTCCATTCTTTCAAACACAATGATTATTATACATGAAATACAGCAAACAAATGATCCTTTAAAAAATTTACTACCAAAATGTCAAGCTATTCAAAGCTATAAAATGACACAAACCCCATATACACAGACCTTAATCTTATAAAATCCTAACATTTTGCCACATTACATGTATTTTTAAAATAAGAAAATATTACCAATAGTGTCTGACATTCCCTTTTGATTCCATTTTTCTTCTACATCAAAGGTTAGTGACCCTTGCTTTGAGGTTTATCACTTCCATGTAAGCTAATATACTATTAGTGTGTGTATGTATATTTACATATATATATCCATAAATAATATCCCATATTCTCATTTATTTTCAAACCTTATATAAATGGTATCACACTGAATGTATGACAGAGTGCGTTAAAAGTGAAATCTAAGCAGGTCTAGCAACATTTTAAAACTCCAAGAATAACAGGAGGAAAGACAGAAAATTATTTAAAATTGTTAAAGGTATTAAAATTAAAATCTTACACAAAAAATAGCTTTAAAAATATTAACAAGTGAAAGTATATATAGTCAAGAAAGTTGGGGTTTAACACAGAAAAAAAGAATCTCCTAACAGAATTACTAGATAAAATTGACATACTAACATTTCTTTAAGGTATTCATTAGGAAAAGGTGTTAGTACTAAAAAGCAGCTGAGGCCTGGCTAAACAAGAGGTTTATTTCTTATTGGAATAGTATATTCCTGGTCCGAGGCTTCACTTCAAAGTCTCTAGAGTTCAATTAAAACTGGATTAGGTAGACGCAGACCCTTCTTTGGGACTTTCTGTTCACTGAAACTCTACATACACTGACAGCACCCTAGACAGAGGTCTAGCCCTCCAATGAATCAGTTGCTATGGAAACCGTATCATTACCATTGCTCTGCAGTTATGACCCCAAGTCTGGTATAGCTTGAAAGCTTAAGCCACAGCACTCCCTTTGAATGTTTACCACCTTCTTTCAATACTGTTAGTATTATTACCAGTGAATTCAACTTTCATCTTCTAAAAATTTGCTTCAAGAAAGCTGGTTTATTAGTCAAAAGTTGAGGTAAGGGAGTTAGGAAAGAAAGTAATCAGCATATAATTTTAAAAATAAACACAAATACATAAATATCCATATGTGTGTGTGTATACGCACACACACAGTTACTTTACACGTAAAAACATGAACATACCCTCTTTAAAATGACTTTTATCTGAGAACTGTAGTTTGAGAAATGATGTATTATTTTCCCCAAGTATACAAATTTCTATCGTCGTCTCTTCAATAGCTTACTATGAATACATATGCAAACTTCTCTACCCTGTTGAATTTACTGACTTGAAAGTAAAACATTTTTCACGTTCCCTCTAATCATGCATTTTGCAAAAATTTATGAATATATACAAATAAAACTTTCTTTTTTCTAAATCTCATGAAGGAACAAAAATAGGATACTGCCTTTACTGCCCAGATATATAACTCTTATTGAATGAGGCATTTTTTTAATAAAACATTCAAAATAGGTCCTAAAATAAAGTCATATTTGTTTCACTTAAGGATAAAGGCTTTTTTTTTCCTTTCAAAAACTAGTTTCAATAAATTTAAAATGTTTTCAAACTCATTTCAAGAGAAAAAAACTGATCAAATATTTTACCTCAAAAATAAGAAGTATTTACATGTTATTCTGTATATACAGAATTAATAAAAGGTATCTTCAAAAATACTACCCTTTTAGTTCAAAATTAGTATCACACAACCTAGTCCCAAATACTTGACAATTTTTGGATTGTACTCTTTCAGATAATTCTATATTCCTGAAGAAATTTTTAATAAAAATTCAGATGATATGTACC